CAGCTCTGGCTCTTACGAGAGTCTCTGGCTTCTTCATGCAGGTGAATTGTTCATGAGAGCTGTGAGGTGGAGCGTTAAACCTGCACAGCCTGGTAGCGTCTAACTGAGATAGCGTAGACACACAAAAGGAGGCAAGGAACAGTGAGAGAACAGTCTGCAGAGCTCTCTTCCATCTCAGAGTTATTTGAACCCATGTCAAATAGGAAGGGGGGGAGCGTAGAAGACAGACTGAACATGGCGGTAAGCTAAATAAGGGTCATGTGCTAAAGGAATTCAGGTGGAATTTTTGTCCTGGAAGAGACGTTTTTGAAAGTCGGCCGACTTGTTGAGGACAGCAACAGGAGCTCCTGACATAAATAGCTATTCCCTCTCGGCTGTCTGTTGGTGGCCCATGACTTGCAACTGCACTGGGACCCTGCCACTCAACAGGTGTGTCCCGATTACACAAATAAGTGCAGTTGGTCTCTGTGTTAGCCATCCCTGCCACAGGGCCAAGGTTGAAAGTGGGGCTTAGCCACTGTGACCTATTTGTTCCTCTGTATGACCCTTCCAGTCAGGCCTGAGGCAGGCTGGTGACAGCTTTTATGCAGACAGCAGATTTTGTCCACAGAAGAGATTCGGTCTCAGCAGGTCTCTGCAGACTTGTGTTTCCAGATGAGCTCTTCAGCACTTACAACGTAGCAAAATGTGAAGGACTTTGGTGGGTTAGAATGCCCCATGCAGCTGGGAAAATACACCGTATGACATGTTGGTGTTATCTTCTGTAACATGGTATATGTTGTTGCAGGCACCATTGTTTTGGCACATGCTGAAATTGTAGACGGCCAGTAGAAATCTCCCAGGGATGCAGTAAAGCACAGAAGCTCTTACTGTTGCAGAAATACCATTTCTGGTGGCAAAGGACTTTGGCTGGGGAGGAGATCATTGAAGGCAAAAACTGTTGGAGGTGAAGCTTTAGGAGGAGATGTGCTTAGTCTCTGGCTGAGCAATTCTTTTGTTGCTTTCTTTTGGGGCCCAGGCCAGCAACTGCCATGGTGGCTGAAGTCACCTGGGTTAGTGGTGCTGCGGGGGGATAGTCCCAGTCTCTCACTTCAGCAGCTGGGGAGTTGGCTCCAGAAGGAATATTACATTTCTTTTGGTAACTCTGCCAAGAAAGAGAGGAAATCCATAATTTGAGCAAAATACTTTAAATTTTTTGTAGGGTGGGATGCGGTGGGAAGGGGGAAATGAAAAATGGGTTGCTTGGGATGGCTTTTATCCTGGAACTCTCTCTCAGGCTGTAAGAAATTTTCAGCTTCTGTTTCTTAGTGTAGCAAAGTCTTTGTAAAGGGAGCTTCCATCAGGATTGCGTACAATTGGAAACATGCGTTAGTTCAGGTCATGTATTGCACCATATGGTTTGGGATCCTGATAGAGTGCTTTTTGGATTAATTAGCTAATAACAAAGATAGCCTTGCATGTTCCGGATCATGTAACTTTATCAGCTGTTGACAATTGTGACACCCTAGCAGAGGTGGTAAAATGATGGACTCTGATGGGCTTTAAGAACATTTTGCTTGAATTTCATAGAGTTTTCACATTCAGTGTTCACTGGTTCCTTCATCCTCTGTTTCCTGTCATCGTTCTAGGATGTTGGGCTGTACTTCAGTTGCTTTCTGATGCAGGGCTATGTAGGTCTTGGTAAGAATAGCAGTCCTTCCTCAGTGAGTCAGCCTTCAGCAGTCTTGAAGTTCACTGTTGGGTGGCTTCTCTGAGAACATGAATGCCAAGATCTTGATTTCACAGAGCAATTAAGCATGTACTGAATTTTAAGCACGTGGCTTAGTATTTTGCTGGATTGCATACTAAGAAAGGTCAAGGTATTCATTGGCTGGTAGATAGTGGTCCCTCCACAGCATTTTACGTAGCATTTGTCTTCATAAGGTGGTTTAGTCTCCTGAATCTTTGGGTGTTCAATCCAGTTGCCAAAGTGAGAGGTACTTGGTTAAGTCAACCACTCAGTGTAGATGTGTGATGTCTGTTGATTGTCTCAGGTCATCATGGAACAATTCTTAAAGATTTGCATGTATAGAAAGTGTGTTGATCATGATTGAAGCAAAATAGTCTTTGTAGGGGAGAAAAGGATCTTTTTTATCAAATGATTAAGTTTATACGGTGATGCCCTTTTTAACTTTCTAAGACTTGAGAACTGTTCTTGTGCATTGCAGTGATGCTCATCACCTTTTTTGATGTATTCTGGGAGTTGCTCTGGGGGGTGCTGTTGACGAAGCAGATCAAATTATATCTCAGCACTTGATTCCATCACTGGGCTTGATTTAACTTCTCTTCTGGTATAGGGGATCAAATCTCTCTGACCAACACTTGAAAAATCATTGAAGTTCAGTCTCTGCTGCCCTGGTATTGGCAAAGGGGAGGGATGTATCGGTCCAATTTCTACATCCCCTTTCTCATGGCCTCCATATGTTCTGTCCCCTTTCTTGCCTCTCTTTTGAATAAATAAAATGTCTGGGAAATAAAAGGTGGATGCTTCTAAGACATGTTGAAATTAGCTGGATCCAGAATTGCTATATGGAGGAGGCAGGCTGGATGAATAATATACCTATTAACAGTAAAATAAGCAAAAAGACAAACAAAACCCCCAAAACCCCACCAGACCTCCTCCATATAGTCCTCCCCACCCAACCCTCGCTCCTTCCAGACAGGAACTGTTGATTTGTGTGAAAGAACGAGGTGTCTGTTACAGGAGTAACTGCAGTAGTGAACTGGTTCTCTGGGCCAAGCCAATGTGTGACTCTCTTCTGAAATTCCTCTTTGAGCAGCAGGAGGATCAAGGCCTGCCCCCCCAACTAGAAAAGTGACCAGCAGTGTAAGATGGAGGCTGCTTTTTTGACCTTGGATTCACCTTTTTCGGAGCCTTGGAAATTACATCTAGTCTTAGTAGGGTTTGTGCATTGAGCTCAGGATGTCTGGTTGGGCCAGTACGCGTTGGGAGGGGGTTGTGGCGTGACTGTGTTTTCCATCACTGTGCAAGCTGGTGACTTAAAATCTGTATGTGGGGAGAACTTAACTGAGGGTTGAGTGTAGGGAGGAGAAGTGTTCTGAAGTAATGAATGGAACTGGATGTAGGCGGAGAGCCTGAACTCTGTCTGGGAGAGTAATAAACAATGAGGAGGCTGCTGGACCTGACCTGACTTTTCAGTGCTGTGTATTCCTCATCTCAGATGCTATCTGGCCCCATGAGCTCCTGCAAGTGCTCTCTTTAAAAAAGGAACTCCTCTTCTTGCAGCCTAGGCTAACTCTATAGTTTTATTAGTTTATTTTTTTTGAAGGGCTAGGAGAAATAAAGAGCTCGTAGCTTCCTAAATTCAGTTTTATTTGGTGTGGCTCTACTGATCATAAACTTATAGTTGCAAAGCTTTCTAGGGGGCAAAAAGCTTTTCTGTGTGTGGTTTCTGTTTTTGTTTAAAATGGGTCACATGCCCAGGAATGCAGTCAAATTATAATGGTGACTAAGTGCCGGAAAGCATAGGAAAGGGGAGTGAAGGGTGAGCAGAAAAAAAGGAGCCTGAGGCTATGGAAGGAAGGCTGGGAAAATGAGAATCTGGCCAGGCCCCAGGGCCAGGTTAGAGATTCCTACACCCATTAACAACCACAGGAGATGTTTATTTACAGGGAGCTAATCTTTGTTTTAAAAATGACAGAGTACCCAGAAATCCCACTTTTGGGAAGTGGATTGGGGGCACAGTAGGGATGGGAGGAGGGAACTGGTTCTGATCAGACATCAGTCCCCATCTCTCAGGGATCTTCCCTTCATCCTATGCATCTGGGAACATTGGCTGTTGAGAAATGCATGAAAGTGGGATGAACTTTTGTAATCTAGTAAGTGGTTCACAACCCCTAGTTACAAAGGATAACTTCAAGAGTTTCTTCTTGTTTGTACTTTTCTGATCTTTTCTACCTAAGCAGCTCCACCAAGGATATTGAATAATTAAGTTTATGATATGAGAAAGATGGGAGGTAAAGCTGCCTTTTTTCCTCCCTCTTTAATCAACCCTGGATCATGAAAACAAAACAGATGTTGAACAGCTGCTTGAACTGGGTATGTTCATGTAGACTCTAAAGAGACCTTGGTCCCAGGTCTCTGTGATACCTACCTTTTGTCACCTCTTGAGCTGTGTTGATCTTGGCTTGTCTCAGCTCGTCCCAATAACTTTGATTTGTATCCCAGCAACTGCTTATGAACTACAGTCTCTCTTTTAGTAACTTTGTTTGACTGTAAGTAGAGAATTTTCCAGCAATGTGGTGGAATTCTCTATCCTTTGGTGAGCTGCTGCAGAAGATGGGCCGTCTTGGGGTGTGTGTGCATTGGGTGGTTATACAGATGAATGAATTTTATTTTTAGTTTGAACATATCTTGACTTCTAATTATTCTATGGTATTCTAATTATTGTATGGTTATACGATTATCAGGCAGATGAGGGTCTGGAGCAATTTCTTTACTAGTCTTCTGGCTAGACACACTCTTCTGGCTTCCAGTTTCAGTATTCTCCTGACTAGTGTTTCCTCCATCCGTTCTTGTATGGTGGTGTCCTTATCTTAACTGGCTTTCTTTAGTCTCTATTAGAAGAGTGATGTCCTGTTTCTCTGGTTGTTCTGGTAGTTTCTTTCTGTGTCATCTTGTTTTGATTACATTTTGTCTGAACTTGTGTTGCATTCAGTATACTAGATCAGGTCTTGATCAGTTTTAAGGCTTGTACACTAGTGATCATCAGGGATGGCTTTCTTTGCTGATAAGCACCCACTCTGCTCGGTGTTCCTTTCTTGTTAACGCTCATGAGTATGCTTGCTCTAGTGTGGCTCAGGCACCATCAATGTTTGTTTGCCAGTTCATCATTTGTGGAACCAGAGTGAGAGCATACCTGTGACCAGCTTGAGTGTATTTGTTGTCCGTATAGCATCAGTCCTGGTTGCTAATCTCATCTCTCTTCCTTTGTCTGCAGAGCGGCTGGCATTCCAGTGAAGGAAAGGGTGAAAGTCTCTCAGAACTGGAGGCACGGACGCTGCCGGAGGGAGACGGTCCTGAAATGGAAATGCAAGCAAGTGGCTCCTTTCTCTTTGTTCTGTGTCAGCTGCTGTGGGACCTTGGGTTTGCATCTGTGCCCTGAAATGAGATGTTTCCTGCTCCTTGTGATCCACGGGGGTCTTACAAGTGATGTTGCTGGCCTGTTTTGGATGTTGCTGGCTAGCTGGATGTGGGGTAACTGGAGTTGCTGTCTTGCCCTAGAGATTCACTCTGAGAGTTGAGAACTCCTCTCTTAGTAAGAGCTTGAATTTGGCATTGTTCTGATCTGTGCAGTTCTAGTTGGATTTAGCAATCTTTACTACAGACTTCAAACTGTTATGTTCCTACCTATTGCTGTATACCGTGAGCAATTTTCTGTCCTGCTCTCACGATGAGCATACCTTGATCCCAGATGTGGACTTATGTGTCCCCTCAAAATGTTTGGTTTGTCTCCCATGCTTTATCCTGGGCCCTGATTTGGATGTACAAATCTAAAATGCTAATTGCCATTTTTCTGCCTTATGCTTCTTCATTCTCCTACCTTATGCTTCCCTCCTTCACTAAAAAAAAAAAAAAAAGCATATTTGACATTAATGAGAGATTGTTGTTAAATTCTTGCTTGCAAAGGTGTACTCAGCTTTCAAAGCAAAGCATAAGATAGGTCTCTTGTCTGAACAGCACATCTAAATTTTCAGGCTTCACATCATCAGATAGAAGGAGAAATGAGAAAGACTATGGTTTGTTAGATGCTGAAGAAAAGGGACATGCTACCGAGCTTTCATGCCTTTTTGTGCTGTGTAGATTGAAGCCATGGCTAATGTGCCACTGCTTGTCTAAAGTCCTGGGAACAGCTGTAATGAGCAGAGTGGTTTTTGGTGCAGGTTGCATACCTGCCTTTGAAGTGCTTGCGACCATCTGTGAAGACAGGCTCTGTGGATGTTAGAGATCATTACTAAACCAGCTTCCCAAGTGAAAAGGCAAGGACTGATTTAATGAGGCCACCATACAAACTGCATCCTCTAATTTTCATTTATCCTGCTTCAAATTTGTTACTTCTCCTTATGAAAAAGCCATAGAAAAAGGTAAAAAGCTAAACTGCAGCAGGAGGAGAGCCACAGAAACTGGCTGTAGTTTAGGTAAGCTGGATATTCACTTGCTTTTAGAGGACTGCGTAGGAGTGGAGGAACGAAGGGAAAATCAAAGTCCGCCTAAAACCAAAGCTGCTAGTCCAAAGATGCCTCTTATTTTTTCCATGCATATGATCAAGTCCCAAATGAACATCATAACCTATGCTCAACTGCTTTGTCCATGTGACTAAAAGCCTGTTACTGGAGATGAATGCAGGCAAGCAGGAAGCTTCTATCTAATAAGCAATCTTGTCCTCTTGCTTGTTTCTAGTCTCTCATTGTGATGTTATGAGGTGCGGCTGTGCATAATGGCTCTGCTGACACAGAAAATCATGAACTCTGAGGAGGAATGATCTGCAAAAAAGAGGGGGACAGGTTTTTATGAGAAGCCCCCCTGCTTTCAAAACAGTTTGTTCCTGAATAGTTTGAAAACTGAAAGGCTGCTCTATGGAAAGGCTCTGGTTTTGCTCAATGTTTGCATGGGTGTTGGTGCACTCGGAAATGACTGCAGAGTGGAGACAATTTCACGCACCCATGCCCCATAGGATGCAAGCCCCATGTCTCTCTGTATCTGGCCTTGCCATATCCAGAAGGCCTATTTGCTGATTCTCTGGTGGCTACACAAAAGCAAGATCTTAAGCAAAGAGCGCACTGCCTAAGTGTGCATTATGGCCTGTTCTGTTTTCTGTATGTTGGTTTTGTTTCAAGTACAAATAAAATTCTTGTGATGACAGACTTGATTCAGACATTGCTTGAGTGTCATCTTCTCTTCTTGGTCTCCCAGGAAGTGAAGCATATTTTCCACTTCAATCTTCAAAATACTTTGGAACAGCTCCTTTAGCAGTCCACTGTTCTTGGCCTGGAACATGTCTGTAGGAAGCTGCCACTGTCCCATAGATAGCAAGGGACAGATAGGGTGTATGGGCTCTTCTGAAAGGTGGGCAACAGAAGTCAAGAGAGGTTGCTCTGCAATTGCTTTTGGCTCAGCAGTGGAAGAGGTGCGAATGTAGAAAAATACCTGCTCTACATGATGAGCACAAAGTTCTTAGATAGCCTCAGGCTTACCCTGCTGCTTTATGTATTAGCATACAGAGAATGCAGGAGGTGGAGGACTTTGTCTGTAGGAAGACCTGTGTTATTTGATGTGACCTGCTCCCCTGCTCAGACACGTGTGAAACAGTGGCAGCTTTGTGGTCTCTGCTGGGCATCAGCAAATAATGTGCGGGATCAAGAGTGACTGTTTGCACTAAGAGCCTCATATTGAAGGCTCTGCTAGAAATGCTTGGCACAGCTCACACTAGCCTGATTAGTCTAGTTTCTTAAAAAGTACAGGGCTCATGAATAGGGGTCAGGGAGCCTTAAGTATTGCCTATCTAAACTCACTAGACTCTTGGCCATCTTCTCTTTCAGAGATTCCATGCTTCCTTTTCCTCAGCTCTTGGTTAGAAAAATGCCAGCAATGTGATCTGCTTTGTATGTTGCTGGAGAAGCTTCACTTCTTAGCTGTGCTACTATATTAAGCCCTGCTTTTGCATGTGACCAGCAGCTCCAACTTCACAGTTTTCTTGAGTGGGCATTTGCTTTTGTTGATATGTTTACATGTGCAGGTTTTTTTTTTCCATTTTGTGTGTGAGGTTTTTTGTTTTGTTTTCTTCTCCCCACCCCTGCACCCCCCCAATCTGCTCTCTGTTTGCAGTTTGATGCCCTGGATGGAGCTGGATGGCGAGTATCTCTACCTGTCTCAAGCGGAGAACATCCAGGCCTACCGGCTCTGTCCAGATGGTACAGGTTTGCAGCGTCACCCTCAAGCTATTTTCTCTGGCCACCAGGAGGACGTATGTCGCTTTGTTCTTGTCAACTCCCACATCGTCAGTGGAGGGGGGTAAGTTGGGTGAATGAAGGAGCCCAAGGAGTGTGGCAGTGAAGTTGGAAAGGTTTTGTGTAACTAACTCCAGCCCGGAGCAGGGGGGTCAATCTTGGTACACAGTGTCCTCATGCTTGGCTGTGTTCAATTGCTGCTGCTTCCTCTCTTATGATTTGGTTGTGTCCTGAAAAATCTTCTACTACAGCAGTGGAAGAGCTGAGTCTCATGCTGTTGACCTTATAAAATGTCCTTTTCTCTTTTGAATTTGTGTAGATGTCCACAGGATTGTTTAGTCAGGATTGACTGATCAGACAATCCTGACTGATGTGCAATTTTCATTTCTTTCCCTGTTAGAGTGAGAGTAGCTAGACTGTGTTCTGATATTCAGAACTGCTGGTTAACTGCGACCGCAGTGGTGCATAAAGCTTTCTAGAGACAAGTATATGTTTGTTAGACCTACTGATATAATTGCAGAGAGGAGGAAAACTGCCAAGCGTTCCAGCACACGCACACTTCTCCAATTAATTTTGCATTTGACTGGCCTTTTTCAATTACAGCAAATGACAGAACTGTTATTTATAAAGTTTTAGCTATTAATATACACAGCACTTAAGCACAAAATTGGGAGATGCAAGCATGGCTGTCTGCCCTGGATATCTTGAGACTCTCCCCTGTGAACTGTAGCCCAAAATTCAGGTGAAAATGAAGGCATGCGTTTAAAATTCCAGTAACTGTGTTGGTTGAAAAAAGTCTAAATGTCTTTGTAGTTAATTCAAAGCACAATACCCTGCACGGCTGCTCTGAAATGAATGAAAAGCTGAGGCTTGGACATGGGTGAGAGTGACCTCTCACTTGTTCCCTTACACCAGCCTTTCAGCATCCAGCCAGGATTCTGGCAAGCTCAAAGCAGTAGGAGGAGGAATGGCTGCTCTGCTAGTTTCTGCAGCTTAACACGAAGTGGAGGGTAGAAAGACAGCCAGGAAAATTTTCATGTGTGGCAGATCAGGCTTTGACTGGCCAGATGTGGGATTGCAAGAGAACAGGTGATGTGTGAGGAGTGGAGGGTTAATAATGCATGAATTTCAGCTCCCATGGGAGATCAGTCCTGGTCTTCTTGTGGCGCTCCTAAGCACTAATGGAAGTTGCATGGGCAAGGGAGATCCAGCTGATACAGAGTCCTTGCCTGGGGATTTGTTTTTCAGAGATGGAAATATTGTCCTTCACAAGATCCATGGCTCCTACAGCGTCAAGTTCTCTGCGCACGAACAGGAGGTGAACTGTGTGGACTTCCAAGGTGGCCTCATTGTCAGCGGCTCCCGGGACAGAACAGCGAAGGTGAGCAGTGATGTTCCAGCAGGTGCTGCTGCAGAGGTGACCTCAAAGGTCTTGTGCCATGAATGTTTGTCAGCAGAACAGTTGTGAGCCCTGTCTTGTATGTCTGCAGGAGGAGCGCCAGGTATCTTGGCATAGGCTCATGTCTCTGAAAAGACACCTGCTGTGCCAAGCTTTTAAGAAAGAGATTTGGCAGTACTTTATGACATCAGCTGCTGGTTTAAACTAGGAAGTGCAGAAGGCAGCAGCTGACATTTTGCTTCTTTCACTGTACATCTGTCTAACACTGTAGCAGAGGTCCATGCCAGTTAGTCTGAAATTTGCCGTATGTATCTCAAGCACATCCTTGCTTTGTGATGCAGTGCTGCTTCACATACTCTCTGTTGTATATCCGATCCCTTTAAGGGATAGCATGATGTTGTTTCCACATCTGTGGGGTTGTGGTTTATTTGTTTGTGGTTTTGTTTTTTTGTTTTATTTTTTTAATGGTTCCTGGTTTGCAGACCAGGAGTGAAGTTAGTCTGTGAATACTGTTAGCTCCCATTTTTCTCTTCCATTAGCATCACTGAATCCTGTCACGTAATTTTTGGCTATTTCTTTTTGAGGCAGGACCTTGTTGATTTTTGTCCTTCTGGATCTGGTTGGCAATGCTGTGTTCCTACATTGACCTGGAGAGTTGTTCTCCTGAGCTGTAACCAGCTCTGTTTTAGTAGTTTAGGAAACTCCACGTAGGTGTTTCACCCTTGTCCTGCTAGCATGATGCAGTACCTGTAGCATCTTCACAACCACTCATTTCATTGTTAGAAATGGTTGCTGCATGTTGAAAGCTTTGCCTGTTGCTCAGGGCAGGCTGATGGATACTCTTGGTCCCTGGTACATATCGTAGAGCATTAACAGAGGTAAGAGGAAAAACTGCTATTCCTATTTTGCAAGAGGGGAAGTTGGGGCAAAGAAAGGCTTAAAAAGTCTCTTTCAAGGTTTTATAGGAACTGTGTGGTAATGGAGAACTATCTGACAGGCTGCTGAGCAGCATGATCGTATCTACTCTTGTTCGTCCCTCTGTATGGGTGCACTCCTGGGTAAAATCATTCCCAAGTAGAGCACTGTTCAGATGCAAAGGGCACTGTTGGGGATGCTGCTTGCCTCCTGGGAGCAAGGCCTTGATGCTGCTTTGTCTCACATTTAAGCAGGGCTGCTCCTCTCTGTTCTGTGGAGCCTCTTTGCTGGGAGAGTGCCTTCTTGCTGCTTTGCTGGCAGCTGGAGGACAGACCTCCCCAACCCTGAGAACAAATTCCTGAAGGCCAGAGGGGAATTTAAGGCTGTTTTTCTTGGCGCTAGCGTGAGATCTTGCCCACCCAGTGCTCCCCACAGCATAGGCTCTAGGGATGTTCACCTCTTATTTTTTATCATCTCTTTTTGTAGGCTGCCTTGTTTGCATGAATGAGACTCTTGGAGGGTGGAAGGGAATCCCTACCAGCCTTTTAAAGGGGCTCTAAGTGTCTAAGCTATTGAGGGCTCTGCTGAGTGTTGATTAGGGCTAAGCCCTGAAGAGCTGCTAATGTACATTCCTGTGTGATAGGCACCAGATAGTGTGTTCTGAGCAATATTTTTAACCTGTAGGAGATAGGGATGCCTTAAAAGAGTTAAGCTTTTCTGCTGCTTTTGCTGACACTAGGTGCTAAATTCCCCGCTGACAAGAATAGCCTGCAATCCGGGGCATTATCAACAAACAAACAAATAGGGCACTCCCAGCTTTGAAGTCTTGAAGTGAAACATTGGGGGTCGGTTACAGAGAACTGGGGCGCTCCAGTCCTGTGGGCCAAGAATGAGGGCAAAGTGGGGGAAATGAGGGCCACGAGCAGAGACCCCAGCAAGAATCTGGGGGACTTTATTAGGACCCAGAAACAAAGCGGGGGGGTGTGGTGAACTGGTGGAAGGGGATGTGCATGTGTGCACAGATGGGGGAGGGAAGAGATTGTCTCACATTGTCAGTGAGCAAGGGGGGGCTGTTTGAAAATAGCCTGGGATACACTTAAGGAACTTGGTCGAAAGGGGGTGGGTTTATAAAAAACTCTTTTACAGGATAGCAAATGATTAATTTTATAGATAATATGAATGGAAGTTTTCCAGGGATGGTACAGAGTCTTCCCACACTGTTCAAGAGAACAGTAGAAATTTGAACAAATCCCACTTCTTGTTTATTTGACTACAGAAGATGAGAAGTCTCTGCGTTGAGTGCTGCCCTAGAGAACATGTGGTAATAGGGGTGCTCTCTGTTACCAGTGGGATGGAAGGTCATACTCATAAGCTGAATCTTTGTGTAACTTTAAGTGCTTGTTTCTGCCAGTGATTGAAGGCTCTGCTCCTGAAAAATAAGTAATGGGAATTCAGGGAGAGGATCTCGGGGAAGGTGAGCATGGCAGTTTTGGCAGCTCTTCCAGCACAACGTTAGCAGCGTGCATCCTACCTTCTGCACCTTCTGGGTGATGTGGCATAACATGCATCTCTCTCTTTAGGTTTGGTCCCTGTCCGCGGGCAGAGTTGGGCAGTGTCTACATACAGTGCAGACAGAGGATCGAGTGTGGTCCATTGCTATCAGCCCATTATTAAGGTAACTGAGATCTCTTTATTCCCAATTTCCAACAGAGAGAAGTAAAGGAGTTGGATAGGCTGTGTGTCCGCAAATCTCTACGAGGCACCAGTGTGACGCTTTAGGGACTTTTGATGTGGGTGGAGGCTGATCAGGTGCTTGTGCTTGCAGCAGGAGCTCAGGGAAGAGCATGTGGTCTTTGTTCCCCAGAACAGCTGAGTGGTCTCTTCATAAGGATGTGAAAATGGCCCTGCGTTCCTGTTACTGTCCCCGGTAGGACCTGTTCATTCTTACTTGCAGAGCGAACTCTCTGACTTACTCTGCCTTGCTAATTAGAAGCAATGAGCTGGATCCTCTTGAGGTTTTCTGTACTGAAAAGATGCCAACTTGTATTCTCATTCTCTGGCAGAAGAGATGCCAAGAAAAAAAGTCCCTGCTTTTTTGCTTGGGAAGCTAGCTTGGAGCTGTGTGTAGTGGTTAGTGCTCAGTTTTCTTGGTAAATTGATCATGCTGGACTGGGAAGGATGGAAGTGGAGTTCAGGTATGAGGTTTTCCAGCTTCTACTGCCTGTAGCCCTGCGCTTCTAGTATGGGCATAATGCTACAACTACAACTTCAGTGTGGGAGACAATGGCAGTACTTACACCAGTGTCTTCCAGGGTGTTTTTCAAAGTGCTTCTGTTCTTAAGGAAGTGAAAATCTGAGAAACTTAAGCTCTTGCTGTTAAAATCTTCTGCTGGCCAGCAACAATCTGTCTCTTTGGTGCACTGTTAAGCTGGTCTTCTGTGTTCAAGAGAGATTCTTCCTCAGCCTTCCTCAAGGGTTGGGGGGAAGAAGAGCTGTTGTTGCTGTCCATGTGATATCTGCAACTAGTGAGTTTTAGGCTTGTGCAAAACCAAAATACTTCCCACAACTGCTGTCCTCATTAGATTTCCAAGCTTGTTTTGCAGGCAGCAGAAACTTAGTGGTACGGAGCTAATGGCATTATCAGGGAAATGACCCTCGAGGCCTGCTATGATTTTGCCATTCCCTCGTCCCATTGCTCCGAGTGTTTGAGACAGATAGTGTTTCTGAAGAAGTGCCATGTGTGTTAATGCTGCTGCAGGATGTTAGATAGAAGCCCTTTGCCGTCTTCTGCGCTGCAAGGGCCTCTTTTCTAGCAGACAGGCTCTGGCTCTAGCACCATGTCTGGTTAGAGCCCAGTGGCACGCTGCTTCCTACTCCTAAGTGATGACCTACTGAGGTGGCCTCTTGTCAGGACAGTGTTCCTCTTGCTGGTGTGCACGCTTGTGCACACTCTCTGTCACAATATTTACCCACTGTCTCCCCACCCCCACTTTCCTCCCTGCAGAGTGATAAATGGGAGGTGGTGGAACAACTACCCCATGAACAAGTGGGCTTAAATTGTGCACTCTTTTTTTTTATGAGACTGTGGACTCCCCCATGACGGTGGGCTTAAATTGTGCACTCTTTTTTTTTATGAGACTGTGGACTGTCCCAGCCTCCCCCCCCCCCCCCCCCCCCCCCTTCCCCCTCCATATTTTGGGGAGGGGGGGTGGAGAATTAGAGCCAAAAAGCCACGTCATTAATTCTTCAATTTGACGGCTGATATAGCAGGGCCTGAAACACGCTGCTGACCTCGTATAATGGGAACCCTGCTCCTTAACATATTGACGATGGGAGAAGTTAATTAAAATTCCACAGAGAGAAGGTGTCGGCTAACCTATAAACCTGTCGCTTCTCAGAACAAATCGCAGCCATCCTAGAAGAGAGAGAGGATCAGAGCAGGAGGGCATGTGGTGGGGGAGGGCCAGGGCAAGGGGCAGGGGAGATGAATTTTTCACTAATAGGTTTTATTGCTTGCTGTCCAATGAGTGTGAGTATCAAAAAGATAATATCTGGTTTCTAGCAAGGTCTGCTTTGGGGAGCTCTGTGGTTTCTGTTTTATTTGCCAGAGCCCATATTTCACCCTTACGCATTCCCCATGCACTTGTGTGTGAAGCTTTTCCTCCTTTGCAGTCCCCATCCTTCTTGCTGGAGCTTGGATGCATTTGTTCCTCAGTGAGGCTGAACGTGGCCTATAACCTCCACTTCCTCCTAAACATTTGACGTGCCCTCCCGATTCTCCCTTCTCACTTGTGCTGGTGTAAACTGAGAGCTCCTCCGTAAGAACGGATAGTGGTGTAGAACTGCTGTAAAATCAGGCTCCAACCACTGAAGTATTTTGGCTCATCGTTGCTGAGAACCCACCAGCTCTCTCTACTATGGACACATATTGCTCAGGAACAGCTCAAAGCAGTTGTGCGCGGTGGGGTAGAAGCAGGGAGGGCTCCTCTAACTGTAGCGATTCAAAAGTGCTTTGGAGAGCCTGCAGTTTCCTGACCTGGAGGTTTGGCAGGACTAAAACTCTCTAGAGTAGTCAGCATTATATTCTTACTGAACTTCAACTGTTAATGGGCAGGACTGAAACTCCTTGCTTTTCAGTGCTATCTTCCTCTGTGTGAAGCTTCCTTAGAAAGTATCCCATGCGCTCCTGACCCACAGCTGTGTTTTCTGTTGTGTCTGCTGTAGTCCTGCTCTGCAGGACTGCTGCTCTAATGGGCAGTGCCTGTATGCCCAAACTAAACTTCAGAGACTTGTGCTCTTGAAGTGCAGCTCCTCTGGCTTCAGGCATCTCTTTTGAGTATTCTGCTTTGCTTTGTCCGCAGTTTCCCTGTGGCACTACAGAGATCCTCCTGCAGATGTGCTGAACTAGGGAGGAGGCTTCCTTGCTCTTTGTGTAGTGATGCTGGGCTGGATGCTCGGAGGGTCTGCAAACAGAATGATGACCGTAAGGGAGATTAAGCAGGGTAAAAGGGTACCAAGAGTACTGGATCTTCTCTTACTGTGCAGGGGAGAACTGTGCTTAGTCCTTTGTATAACCTTTTCAGCCATGGAAGTGTCTTCACATCCATGTGTGTTATTAGAGCTTCATTGCTTTGGGGATCCCTAACAGTGCCCCGCAGGGTAGCAGGGATGGGGAGGGTGTTGTGTTCCTTCTGGGTTTTCAGCAGGTCTTCTGCATAGCTGTACTGGTCGGTGCGCTTGGGACAGCAGGTCCCACATTGCCTGTCACATCAGGGACTAGAGAAGAGTCTGAGAGTATCCTTAAAACAGGGTGCCTCAGCTTGCTCCAGCAACTGTTTTAATTGGTCTCCAAAGCTGTCCTCCATGGATTAGTAAAATGCTGTACTTACAGAGAGGCTGTGTACCCTAAACCACGTTTCTTAGCTGCTTGTAATCCCCTTCCCCCCAAGTTCATTTGCCTTTTGAACTCTGCGTCATGCAGATGTTAAACTTTCATTTACTGGTGCTTACTGCAGTGACTTATGTGTGCTCAGGGACCAGGGCAAGCCTGAGTGCAGTGGACCAATTCAAATGTGCAAAGTGAGGCAAAGCCAGGGGTTTCTAGTGGAATAGTGGCACCTTCATGCTTTGTGATTCCCTGAGGTGGCAGTAGGCAGGGAAGAGAAGTGACCACTGTACACTGTTTAATTTGAGGGATAGGTTTATGGAGAAAATGAGATCCAATTGCCTGGCATTTATGGCTGCAGAAACATAAGGCTTATGATATATGTTGTACTACTGAAATGTTCCTTTATTTAGGGGAAAATTTGTTGCAATTTTTTTTCCCTAATGATAGAGAAGCTTGTAAACTGGAGGGGAAAGTAAAGTGGACCTTGATGTTAAATTAATTATTAATCTTGGATTCAGAAATTCTTTGGTGTTGGATTAAAAAAAGCATTCAAATCTAAGCTGGCTTCTCCTGCTGGGTCTGGCCATTGGCATTTGCTGTTTAGATTTTAAAATATTTATTGTTAGAGCTGGTCTTCCCGTGTTGTACTTGAAGTGTGTTGGATTTTAAACCAAGAAAAGTTGATGGAGGCACAAAAATGGTTTTCAACGTGCAACTATAGATAGAGAGCTAGGAAACCTTTGGTGCAATGTGAGACAATGTCAGGCAACCCTAGTGTGCCCTGTTGCAGCAGAGATGTGCTTTGGGTATGTAAGCCCAAAAGACGGTCTCTCCTTTTCCAACTGTGTCATCGGTCTACTGCAGTACATGACCTCTCCTTGCAAATGTTGCCTTGGTGAAGTGCAGGTTTACCCCAGAGAGGAGGAAATCTTGTGCCAAAGACTAGCTATCTGCATTGAATGCTTAATTTAAAGGAAAATGAGTAGTTCTGTGAGCAGTTGAATTTAAAAAGCCAGGCTTGCTCTATCTCTTCTATGCAGTGTTGTAGCTGAGACCCGACTCCTCTATTTTAACATGCTAATTTGAATCTCTTAGCCTAATTGCCTCTCCCATGGAATATTATAGGGAAGTAATATCTGGGGAGACCTCTGCCCCTGTGGACAACCTCAGACAAATTGTAAAACATACCCAAAACTTGCTGGGGAGAGGAAGGAAGAGAAGGGTTACTGACAGATGCCTTGACTGAATGGGCCTCTCTTCCATTGGGAACAATCAAAATGATTAATTTCGAGGGCTTCTTTTTAATGGTTATTTGGAAACTTTTTGTGAAAGTGAAACAATCTGATCTTGCAGATTGCATTAGAGCAAACCAACCCACTTGAGTCAGAGCAACTTTGCAGTGGCTTTAACTGTACAATTGAAGCCCTAACATGCAGCAGTTTAAATGCTTGATAATCTTCCCCCACCCTCATTTCTTGCTCCGCTTTTATCAGCAGATATCCCCTACTGCATATCAAGATGAGCTGTTGGCTGTAGTAGTGCTCTGTTTTGACCTACCTTTGTGCAGTTAACCTCTCTGAGTCTGCTACGACTTGGGACAAGTAACTGGGTTTTATTCTGGTTTGTGCATCGCCAGCAAAATAGCAGGCAGCAATAGCTCTGCTATCCTTGGGGATCTCTGTAGAGCCTGGTCGTTTTGAATAATTGAGAGGGGACTCTGACCTGCAGCTGTTTCTTAAGCAGGGACAGGAAGAACCTGCTCAACTGTGAGATCCCAGGGTGGACTT